GCTAAGATATTGATAATCGAGATATGCATGATGGTCTCTAACACAGAGAATACTTCTGATCTTCTTCTCAGGGAGGACACTCAAATATATTCCCTCATCAGTCAAAGTACAAAGTTCGAAAAAATTTTATTATGTACATCCCAAATGCAGTCATTGGCCGCACTGTTGGATTCCTAGTATATTCCATTAGGGAGCCGTCGATCTAGAAACGTTTTTAGCTATCTAGATGCCATGTAAAATGCAAAGATAGAAAGACTTAAATTTGTCAATGAAGTATAAATATTTGAATTTAGTACACAAAAGTTTGGCTTTTAAAACTAACTTCACTTGTTCTATATTCAATTCAATTTGAAAAAAAAAAACGACAAAACATCTAATAGATGATTTTAAAATAGTACAAAAATTCATATTAAACAATTCAAAAGATATATTTCAAATGAAAACAAACGAAAAACAAAATAAGAAGATTCACTCCGAAAATTTCTGGAAAAGATGATTGTCGACATTTTGGTAGACTTTTTTGTTTCGAATTGATGATGATGATGATGATATTGATGATGATGAATATTTTTTATTTTTTATTTCTTTTTGTGGATAATTATAATGTAATGTAAGTTCATTACGCCATTGAGATTTAGTATTCATTAAGATTTCTAATGGTGAATATGATTTAGAATAAACATGATTAAAATCAATTCTTGACATAAATGATGTTTGACGTAAGTTATCTAATGAACATAACCGTTGATTTGGATTTTTTTCTAATAATTGTAATAATAATTCTTTTACTTGAAGTTTATTTTCAAGTGCTACTGATGGTAAATTAAATGTATGATTTAATACTTTATTTGCCATTGTCACATGATCTTTTGTTGCTGACACCGGATATTCACCAAATAAACATGCATACATAAGAATACCTAAACTCCACCAATCAACACGATGATCATATGGTCGAACACTGAGAACTTCAGGAGCAATATCTAAATTATAGAAAAAGAATATATATATATATGTATATTCTTGACTTTTTTTAATTCGTTGTTAAATTTACATTGTAATGTTCCACATATTGTTGATGTTTTTTGTCCCAATGCAAGCCATTTTGATAGACCAAAATCAATTATTTTGATATTTCCATTTTCATCAAGTAAAATATTTTCCATTTTAACATCTCGATATATAATACCTTTACTATGTAAATAATCAAGCACCATAGCTACTTGAGCTATATAGATTTTGACAACTAATTGAGGAAAGCGACGTATACGTAGCCATAAAGATAATAATTCACCATTTTCTACATAATCAGTTATTATATATAAATAACGACGAGATTGCCAATAATAATGTGTATGTACAATAAATGGATGCGAAAGACATGATTGTGCTATTGTTACTTCATCTAAAATTTTGAAAATATTTTTTACACAAAATGTTTAATATTTAGTTTTAGTTGTTCGAAACGTTCACATATTTGACTATTGATTCTCGCATGTTTGTTAAAGAACTCATTCGTTAGTCACGAAATCTTTGTTTCTCGTTATGCTGAAGACATACGACAAAAACTACGATAGTCGGCAAATGACATATTGCGTGTTTATAACTATTTGTATTAAAAAATTTTCTTAGTAATCCAATAGAAAATTTTCAACTAATACGTGTTATTTTTCTACTATCTTAGAAGTATAAATAATATTATCATCTAGTAGATTAAACAATATTAGCTTGTTTGACTTTTCAAAAATTTCTCAAATCGTAATCCTGAAACAAAACATAATATAATTATGAAAGATAATGCATGAATAGAATCTGTAGGAGGACTCTGTTGTTCTATTCTGAATGTCTTAATCAGAAACAATATTTCTTATGATCATATTTCAAACATTTTAACCAATAACAACGGAACCTATCCAGGTACCAAAACGCTTTTCGAGTGAGACGATATTTGTTTTGCTAAATAGTAATGATTAATAGAAAAATCTAGAATGGTTTGGTTTTTCGGACCTTCGACATTTTACTGAACTCTTCAATTAAAAGCTGTGATCACGTGAAAAATCGACTTTCAACTTCAAATTTTGCATGAACAAACTTGTCCAATAAAATTATTTCATTTGACATATTATTGACTTTTCTATAGTATCTCCTATCCTGAGATATTCAATATTCGAAATTTTCTCATATGTAAAAGTAGATTTTGTTCATATATCTACACCTTTAGAAAGAAAGTAGAAGAAAAGCTAAAACTTGCATAATTAATTAATACGGTTAAGAACTCTGCTCGTAATAAGGTTGAAATCTAAAGTCGATTTTTCATGTAACCATAGCTTTTCGTTGGAAAAAAAGCGTATAATATTTCGATATCTGAAGAACGAAGGTTGGAAAAATCAAACCATTCTCGACTTCTCTTAATCACTAGTACTCATCAAATGAATGTCGTCTCGTTCGAAAAATGAATTCAGACGTCGAGAGGTTTCTTTGTAAGATTAAATTATATAAGAATTGTACATCAAAAGTCACACTTGGAACCAAACTGGCTGGTCTAGTCCAGTGAAAATGTCAAACTGACCGGTCCGATTTAGTTAAAAAACAGTTCAACTGGTTTCAAATATGTCACAATTTCTTATTTAAATAGATTATTATTTCTATGCTGTCAAATTATCGAATCTGTCAAGTTTTATTTTCTTGTTCTCTCATCAAATATTTTATAAGTAAGTTATGTCATGTTTGTGTAGAATACATTTAACATGAATACACAATAAGTCAATTTTAGTTTTGATTATTCTGAAATATATCAAACAATAGTTTCTATTATTTGAAAAAACAAAATGTGTTCTTTCTTTCGAATATTTTCATTTCAATGAAAATTTTACCTTTGACTTGTTGAACAGCATTATCTTTCACAATTTGTGATTTACTCATTATTTTCATTGCATAAATATGTCTGTCATGTATAGAACATACTTGTATCACATTTCCAAAGGCACCTCGCGCAATAATATCAATAACCTAGTTTAAAAAAACAATATCATATTGAATAAATTATAAAACTAATTTTATTTTATTTTTACTTCAAAATCAGCTTCTGTTATTTTTCCTTTAATAGAAAATTCGGGTAAAAAAAGTGCTTCATGACCATGAACAGGAAAATTTGTACTAGAACGTCTATATGGATTTCTCAATGATGATGTTTGATATTTTCGACGTGATTGATTTCTATATACACCTGAATGCGTACCAACATTAAATTCTTGATTAGTTTGATTTGTTATTAATAATTCTTGACGATTATTTTCTGATGAACATATTGGAGATAAGGATAATGATGGATGAAGAAAATTAAAACTACGAGAAAATAAACTGATTGTTCGATCGCCAATCGATTGAAGACTAACATTAAGATATGATGAAACTGTCTAAAGAGATGAAAAGAAACAAAAGAAAATTCCATTAATATGAAACTCTATATTTTGAGTATTCAAATAATAGTTGTGAAATATAATTGAGTTTTTATACTTCATAGTTCAAAGTTATTATGTTTTCTCTTAATTCATTCTGTTTTTCTGTCTTTCAGTTCAATCAGATTATATGTTATTCTTTATCAAGAATCGCTTTGATATTTTACTTTAAAGCTACGAAGAACAAATTGATTTCTAGTGATCTCTATCACTGAACATCACTTTTTTATCTGTTCATGTTGTATCAAAAGAAATCATCGTCAATGTTTAGAAATGAAGAAAAATCACAAAAGATCATTAAAAATCAAAAGATGTCATAGTTTTATTTTTAATCTGATTCCTGAAAATTTTCCTATCATTTAGAGTAGTTTTCATTGATTTCTAACATAGACGTTTGTTTATCCTCCTTGCTTCCAAGAGAAAGTTTAATTGCATCAACTTGAATGATTAGAAAGTCTCTTGAATTACTTTGTCCTTGCAAAAAATGGTTGCTAACTTGTTTTACAAGTGATGTATTAAAGTAAAGAATTATCAACGAGATATTAAGATGTGAAAGATTTGAAGGACAAAAAACAATTACTCAAAATGAAGAAACAAATCCTACATAATGATTCTTGAATCGAGGACAAAAAAACTGAAGTTTTATATTTTCATCAAACTGATAACATTGAAATGTTGTCACTAAATTTATTCATATAAAATAAAAGTTCTTAATTAAGTTTAATTGACATATGAATGCTTGTTCAACATACTAACTATATTAGCTACAATCTAAGAATAGACTATTGTTATATAAAAGAAAATCGATCAAATATTCTTTTTAATTTTTCATCAAATAAACATTAACAATTATATTTTTACACATCAAATATTAATTAATATTTAGAACTTATTACATCGAAAATATCTTGAAATGAAAAGCGATTTTATTTCGAATGAAAATAAAATTGTGAATTTCATCTTTTAATATGTAAATTTTTTTTTATTGCTAAACTATAAATAATATACACTTATTCTCATATCAATGATACCAGTTTCCTTTCATGCATAGTGATTGCATTTTTCTATTAAAAGCTCTCGTGCATTATGTTCTTTTCATTTTTTTAACACTTATGTCACAACAGGTTGTTCACTTAGAGAGAATACTCTTATCAATATGAGCATATAAATCGATCAAAAAAAAAGTAATGAAATGCAAACAAAATCACTTGAGCATATAAATC